TATTTTATTTTGAAAATCGTCAGCTTCTTGTATATATATATATCTGTCTGTATAAATATATTTTCTTTATATATCTTTCTGTATAAATATCTTTTTATGCGATATAGAATATTTATCGCGCGATCAGGCGTGGTCTCATCAGCGCAATAACAATAAGTGAGTCATGGCCAAGGCTGCAATCCACGCCTTGCTCGTTACAAATCCCTTACGGATTCGAACACGCTTTGTCGTACACGCACGATGCATTTTATTTCGCGAATACGCACGATCGTATCACGAATTTCCATTCAAAAAGGGCTAAGAACATCGTGTTAAAGTCGTTGTACCAGCGCGGTATTAAGGGCAGGTGTTCAGCAAAACGAACGGGTTGACTCTTAAGCAGATCGCACATGCACCTGCCTGGGGATTTGGTAAGATTGCGAATACTGCGTCGTCAGACGTACAGAGACACCAGGGAAAACGATGAATATTCATGAGACGCGGGTATAATCTTGTATGTCACACAAACGCGCTGCTTAAACACGATGAATTCAAGCGCGATCCGCGATCTGTCGTAACATGCTCATAACAATGTCTTTTAACGGCAGATATGCAGCGACAAGTATTGGCGAGTAAATCAGTAAACCGAGGTGATAACGTTATGTTAATAAGATTGACATATTTAAATCTGAATGTAGGTTAAGCAGTAACGACGGCAATGAAAGAGACACAGCAAATCAGACACGAGAATTGGAAAGGAGAAACTTCTCAAGAATATACTTTATCTACAACGGATCGTTTTTATATGACATTCTCTTTACCACATTTAAGTAAACACTTCATTAGTAGAGTCTTTCTTGCAGGGCAAAAAGAAACTCGGAACGGAATACATTGGAAGAAATTTTAATGTAAATTATTATGTTGTTCACGTATAACATATAAAAATGTTCTTACTTAATAATTTAAAAATTTTATTGTGCGCTAATCAAAATTTGATGAGGAAAAAGAATCAAATTTTGATTAAATTAATAAAATTTTTTAATTAAAAATAAGAAAAGTTTTGTAAGTCGTATATATCGATAAAATAAATGCTTCATATCAAACATTTCTCTCAGTGCATCTCCGAGACATAATGTAGTGCATGGATGAGACTCGCGGTTTTTGGTGTCGAATGAACATGAACCGTCGATCAAGATACATGCTCGAAATAGTAACACGAGGGAGGGAAGGAGAGAGTGGGATAGAGAAGATTTATTCGTCTGGGACAGTTAGGTATGCCTCAGTAAGAAAAAGTATACATGAAGCTGGTACATGAACCACACGATTATACAGTTAGTCGCGGGAACCGGCGAGTGTGTACTTGCACACGGCGAAGTTAGTTAAACGGTATCTCTTCGTTTTTTGTCAAAAATTCCACGGACATCGCGAGCCGCGAGTTGCCCGATTCACGGTCGATGTATCACGTTGAGACACTAATCTTCGCTGCTTCATCAGACGTAGCTCGTGATATTCATTATTCAAATGACAGACACTCGCGATAACGCTCGAATCCGGAAGCGATGCAGCGCAATGTAATGAGATTTCGATTATCGAGCGGATAATCGAAATACTCGCTGTCATTTCGCGGGGAATGATTGACTCAATACACGAGAAACAAGTGGATTCATGTTCGATAAAACGATAACAAGATAGTATGACTCAGCATAGTGTATCAAATTGATTTTTTTCGTAATCTTTACGAAACGTAATATCGATTATTTATCCAGGATACGAGAAAAAGAAAAGGAAATAGACAGCTATGATATGCGGAAGAAATTAAATTGCCAAATAAAAAATATTTTGTATTTGCGTTGGAAACAATCCACTCAAGTCCTACTTAAACTTTTGTGTCGAATTTTTTAGCATGTTCAAGTGTTAATTTAACATAATGTGATTGTTATTTAAATAGTTTGCATTAAATTGATATTTAATATTTTTTAATGTCAAAATAATACAATTTATGAGTAAGTAAACAAACAGTATGAAAATAATGGTTTAAAATGTAAATTCTAAGATTAATATATAAATAAAATATATATTAATTTAACACATCATATAAATGTTAATTTTACTGAAAAAAGATATGCTTCCACGATTTACTTACAAACTGTGACAGTATTACCTTTTTTGTGTTTACTTTTTTAAATAACATTTGTATTGCCTTCTAACATTATATTTATTTTGTATTAAATTAATGTAATTAATATATAAATTTGAATAAACCGTTTGAAACGTGTGAAATACGGTAAATTTAACATAAATTTTCCAACGGTAAACTATTCGTAGAACTAACAAGATCGTAAGATTGCTTTGATCCAAAATTTTTATGTTGCTGGCGAGTCGGAATGTCTTTGTGGCGAAGGAAAGGTGCTCGCTCGAGTAGTCGAGGTAAGTGACGCTTTAAACCGGCGCGAAATGGTAGAAAACGAGAGATCGAAAGAGGAGCAAGAACTTGTCGAAGGGAAATGAAAAGAAGGAGAGGGTGATAGTAATGTACGCTCTCTCTCGCGTGTCATCGTATCTGGTGCATGACACAGCTGCCGCCAGTCTTGCTCAATCGGGGAAATATCAAGTTTCGTCTATAAGCGGGAAAGGTATTTCGAGATATAAACCGCTGTGCGCTTATGAGATTCGAGTTGAGAAGAGGGAGAGAGAGAGAGAGAGAAAGAGACATGAAACCTGGCATGGTAGAATTGATATCCTGCAAAATACACCACGAATTTCTTTAGTAAAGTTATTTCAAAGTTGAGAAAACTCGAAGAAAAAGTAAATTACCTGGAAAAGTTCATTTCAATTTAAATGAAATAAAAACAGATCTATATAAACAGCTTAAAATAAAAATACAATACTACAGTATTTTTAAACGAACATTTCAAAATTTATCTTTCAAAATTTAAAGTTTAAAAACAATAAATGTATATATAGCATATATATAACACGTAATTATAATGAAATCAAATGTAACCGGAAGACTAGTTCAACGGAGTAGACATAAATGAAATGTCAAACATATGAGCATGAACACGAATTCGTCCGCGTTGCTCTGACCTCTGTAATATTAACGCATTTTGTAAGCGTTAAAATCCGTCAGCGCGTAATGTGGAATTAATCACGAGCGTACCAGTTTATAACGTATATCTTATGTAATGCCACGATTATCAGCCATCAAGCCGATACGCGCGCTTGAGTGGTCATTGAAGCGATAGAATGATCCTGCGAAGAGGAATTCAGTGCGCGCTGATTCTCGCGTTCATGAGTTATAACTCCGTACGAGCAGGAAATCGATCGTTATCAAAGGTAGGTCGTTCTCGGGCCTCGAGGCGAGGTAACGTTTCGCCTAGGTCATGCCCAGCCCAGAATAGTCAACCCCGGATGTCGTAAAAGCGACACTTGACGCATTCGCGCGCCGCATCAAGTCTAGCCTATACGTCACGACGCTCTTTTGTCCGGTGCCAAATAATTCCTGGGGGACGTGGCAAAGAACGTAACGACAGGAACGAGGAAATTAAAAGGGCCGTAAAAAGTACACGCACTGTTGCACTAATCCGCTAATTGCTAATGTAATCCACTAATTGCAATGCAATCTACTTTCTAGATAGATTGCGACGACGCAATTTGCACCTAATAACGGTGTTCTGTGCTGTTTAGCGGTATAAATCCGCATCTGAAATTAAAGGAAAATGTCTCGCGATTATAACAATAATATATTAATGTCGTTATAATTTCAGGAAATACATTACGATATTCTATACTGAAATAATTTGATAAATGAAAATATCGATTTATTATGCTTAGTTATTTCACACTTTATTATTTTTTATAATAAAGACGTCGATAAATATATATATATATAGCTAACGCGGTACAAGAAGATGATACGTCGTCGCTTTCGACGAATTGATTAAGATTAATGATTCGTTGGCGCGTGCAACCTCCTCCGCCAGATGAATCGTCTCAGCGAGATAAGCTTTGGAATACCTACGACTTTTTACGAGCAAATGCGTGATTCAGCACGCGCCCATTGTAAGCCGTTCGCGTATAATCCATACGAACGAGATCATTGAGAAGTAGTCGATAATTGAGCGAGTGACTCACCGCAAAGCGATTCGAGAATGTCAATAATCAAGCGAAGAGCGAGTGGAGAGAACGTGGCATTTAACGTGTCGATACTGAATTTGCCTCGCACTCGGGAAAAATAATTATACACGTGAAACGATCGAAATAGCACAATCAAGAAATCTCGCAGTCTGCTCGGTGATAGGTACACTTATAATTCAAGCCGGAAATTGTATCATTTAATCGTATCAATAATATGGTTTTCTCGAGCAAAATGCTCGTTAATAACAAAAACGTATGCTAATGTATTAATGTATGCCTCGTAATGAAAAATTATCGCTGTAAAAACTTTAAAGGCAAATATGATTGATCGTATCACCCAGACTGAAATAGAGGTAATCAGCTGCGCAAACAAATGATCCTAATACGGTTGACACGATTTTAAGAGATAATAGATACCCATATATCAGAGGTTTAACGTCAAATAAATTTCATTTTAGTTATTAATCTTTAAATTCAACAATAAAAAAGTTTTACTCATAATATAGAAATACAATTTTGACCTTAAAAGAGAACATATAGGATCAACTAAAGTTTTTGTTATTAAAAATTTTTTTCAAGTTCAGAACAAAAAAATAATATTGTAAAACACACATAAAATTACTCCAAATCATTATTATTTAAAGATTAGGAAGTTCAAATAACGAGTTCATAACTTATTCCTCGGTAATGGTAATTAAAAATACTTTTAAATTTCTGGATGGAGCTAATTTTTGTTTTCTTGCAAAATGTAATTTATTATTACAGCCCACAAATATAAACATATATTTATCACGCAATTAAAAATGTAAGTAACACTTCAACATTTTAGTTTAAAAAATAAATGGAGAAATAATAAAAATGAATGATTATTGACAAGGACTTACCTGCTCCTTGTCCTTTTCGGTAGCCTCATCTTTGTCCTTTTCTTTATCCTCAGTAGACTCCGTGTGCGGTGCTATGCCGTTGGTGGTAGGCTTCGTGTCGGCCTCCTCGATCCTCTCCAGCTTGCCGTCACCAGGTGCGGCCGCATCGCCGACGACACCTCCTTCGGCGGGTATTCCCTCCTTCTTCGGCGTCGTCGTTATATCCACGGACCTCTTGCTCTGTCTCGCTCCCATGTTTGCTTTTTACCTTCTTCGTGCCACCTGTATTTATCTCACTTGCTTTCTGAGTGCCAGGTGGTGTCCACCTAAACCGTCCTGCTGCAATCAGAGTAGAAGAATCGATTTTAATATTTGGCCAAATTTTTCAAAACACGATGAAAAGTAAAACTAATATTTATAGGGTACTGCAATAAAATTAAGAGCGAACGGAGAGACCGAAAGCAAGAGCTGGCAAATCCACGTTCGTTCGAGTTCTGCAATTTGACGCAGTTACACGCGTCGATCTGCACAGCGGTTTCGCTGGATAAGTTCATACATCTCGTGAGGAGCGTTGAGGAGCGGGAGTAACTTTCACCATAGCAGAGATACATCGGAGATCCTCTCAGCGAATTTATTCCGTGTTGAACGAGAATCTGGTTATAAAGACAAGCGAATCCGAAATATATATCGCGGTCGCGATTCGAAAACGACGTAACTTACATTCACCTGCGTCAGATTAATCTGATAAGAGAGATATATGTTTATCGATACGCAGCCGCGCCCTTCGTAATTGATTGCGACTTTCGCGCAGGTGTTTCTCACTGTTCCGTTTTTTTTTCTCTCTCATCAAAAAAAACCTCTCCTTAAAAATTCGTTCGTACCGTACACGACAATGTAGAATGGCTGGACAATAATGAGTCGTACGAAAGACACTTCAGAACACAAAGAACAACAGCGCGATGGAAAAGCTCTTTCATCAAGAAACAACTAAGCATTGTTCTCCCCAAGAATTCGTTTCCGTTATGTGAATTCGGTTAAAACGCGAAAAAAGGAGCGTGAAAAAAACCTATAAACGCGTAAAAGCATTTTTGTCAACAATATAATTATTTATACAAAACATTATGTACATATTGTTACGTTATATATATCTGTACATGTACATACTATATCGCTGTGCAAAAGACATAAATATCCAACGTCAATCTCGAGCTATTATTCATGACGTTTCTTAATTTAGAACACTAAACTCGTAAAGATGTCAAGTTCAGAACGAATGCCGACGAACTAGATCGTTTTTGCTGCTTACTTGTGGCATTCTCGGTTTTTCATTTTTGGTTAATTTATGGTTAGACCTAACTTGATATAATAGTGTAAAAATTATATTTTTCTGACTATAGTTAGTCACTAAACTGCACCAAGAGTAAAATTTATTTAATTAAAAAAATTGTCTGAATAAAAAAAATTAGTGCTTTGCTAATAGGGTTAAAGAAAAGTTTCTTTGATTTAAACGTCATTTCTTGAAATCAAGTAAATTTGTATTTTTCTCTAAGGAATTTTCATCTTAATTAAAAAAAAATTAACGAAAGAAACAATTTCTTCAATTTAAACGTAACTTTTCTCTGAGTGTAATAGTTTTGCAGTAAATAAAAGTTTTTAAAATTATCACTATACGGAAAAAGAAGAAGGTTTTTTGCTATCTAAACTAAAATATAGAGCTAAAAATAATTTTGTTAAACTATCAAAATAATTAAAACGCTCCAACTGATTACTAACTAGAATAACTTACTTTGCAATGTTCGTTATGTTTAAATTTCCTGTATAATTATTTTGATGATCCAACAAAATTATTTTTAGATCAATATCTATGTAGATAAATTTCTAGATTTCTTTTCTTTTTTGTAGAAACGTCTAAAAATTTAATTAAATACTGATCTGAAATTAATTTTGTTGAACTATTAAAATAATTATATAGGAAATTTAAACATAATGAGAGCAATGCTGCAAAAAAATTTTAATATGACGCAAAATCGTTCGTTCCGTGTCCTACAAAACCAATCAGATTAGCGTACAAGTCATTAGAAAAAACATAGTTTTGTAACGGGTTAAGTACGATTAAGTTTAAATACAAATTAATTAAAAAATGAAAAATTGGACCTCACAGTATTACCTGTGACTTTCGAAGAAAAAAAAAAAAAAAAAAAGAAAAACTAAAATACACGTCGTCGTCACGATTCTAATTATCCTTGGAAGAAGAGAAAAATAGCTCGTTGGAAGTCGTCGAGGAGCACAAGTAAGGATAACGGTATCGCGATGATGACTTCGCTAGTAACGAAAGCGGAAACGCGCGCGAGGGAACGGCTGTGAAAAACTGGCACGACGAAGCGCGCTAAAAGCCAGGCTTACCTAGACCGCTCGTTTGTTGTGCGCGCGTTAACGCGCATTTAAACGACCACGTGGCTCGAGTGCTCACGCACGTATCGCCACCGGTATGCTTGCGCGCGCGAGCAGCTGACAGCCGCGACGCGTGTAACGCATCTGTGGTCGCGACGAATTTACGTGAGGTCATCCTTTGTGTGCCAATCAATAAGGAAGCTCAAGGAGAAAAACAGAAATGATAAACACCGTTGGGATTGTCCTAAGCAAATGTACAGATGTACAAAATGAATAAATTGCGCATAAAGGGAAAACTTCTCAACTTCGTCTGAATCGAAACACTTCGTTCGAATAATTCTTTAAAATAACAAAGTAGATTTTTTTACTATGAAAAAATGCTTTATTAGATATTGATTCATTCTCTTTGAAGTTGTAAATACTAAAAATAAACCTTTTATTTAAAAATAACAATAATGTTTTTTTAAGTCGGATCACTTTTGTAGAAAAATGTTTCTCCTTTTTAAATTTTAATTATATTTATTGTGGTATTTAATATATTGTTATAAAAAAATTATTTATAGAAATTTTTTTGTCATTAATATGCAAATTAATTTTTTTAATAAATTTTAATTAAAATACTTAACATATTGTTATAAAAAATGTTTAGAAAAACTTTTTATTGATATAAAAGTTAATTAAAAAAGTTTCTATAATATTTTTTTATAATAATATGTTACATATTACAATTGGTAATTAGAACTAAATATAAAATTAATTAAAATTATTTTAATTAAGTGTCATATATTAATGACATAAAAATTCCTATAAATACTTTTTTATAATAGTATGTTAAATATTACTAATTATTAGTAATTAGAATTTTAAAAGGGAAAAACATTTTTTCACAAAAATGATTCGATTTAAATAACATCATTACTTTTTTAAACAAAAGTTTTATTTTTAGGTTTTACAATTTCGAATAGAGAGTTAATATCTACTTTAATGTTTCAAAGAAAATAAAAAGAATTCGTAAATAAAATTTTCTTTTATGCGCAATCTGTTTATTTTATACTATAAAAACGCATAAAATACTATAAAATAATGAAATGTTCTTTTTTATTCCTTGTAATAAATTATATAAGGTACATCTTATACACCTTAATACTTTTGTGAACAGAACCTTGAGATAAATCAAATGGTGTAAAGAAAACACATAGTTGCTTTAAAAAAAATATGTATACAAAATAGATAATTTTTTAAATACGCAACTATGTGTTTTCTTTACACCATTTGATTTATCTCATTATTCTGTTCACAAAAGTATTAAGGTACGATAATTAAAGTCAACAGTTTACGAGTTATTTAACATTTTGTGTCAATATGTATCAAAATAAAGTAAAATATCTCGAAAACTATTGGTTTTTTGGGATCTCTATCTTAATACTTTTATATGCAAAATAATTAGAGGAATCACGTTATCTGAAAAAAATTACATAATACCATTTAAAAAAGTGGAGGTGACCTTCATATCTTTTTAGCGCCTCCACTTAGAAAAAAAACAACGTGACTAAAACGTGTCCCTCTCGACACCGTTCCATTTTTATTTGTAACATTTTTGTCTACTGGATTTAGTTTTCGAGATATTTGGCTGGATCATTTAAAGTGGGACACCCTATATATGCAAAACAGAGTAAGCTAAGTTCAACATATAATGGCGATAAATAAAAAGTAAGAAGTATAACATAAATGCTCTATCTACATTATTACATTTTTATTTCGATTTAAAATACGCAGTTTTTTGTACGCCGTAGTTAGTATATCTAATGATCTTTTGAACGTTTCTCCTCGACATTTCATGTTAATGTTTAAAAAATCGATAGAACCGAGCTGGAAAAGTCAATAATTCTATCAGCATGACGTACAAGCAGCTCTCGCTTTTAGACATATCTTCGTCGTGGCGTTTCGTCGCGATCATATATTTATTAATACTATCTATATTTCCATTTTCAGATTAATTTATCGACAAGCCTTGAATTTCGATATGCATCCATGGAAATCTTGCGAATGTGATACCAATAATGTTTGAATTTCCATCGCGCACAATTCCGGATCTTCGCAAAAAAAAAGTCCCATTAACGAGCACAATTTTCATCGTGCAACGCAAGGCGGAATTGGCTTTCTGCTTTCTAGTGGCGATTCGTTTCTCGAATGAATTCGTCCGGAGCATTCCTCACGTTACACACGTCGCAGTTAAGTTACGCTGAACGAATGAAAGTCAGCGAGCGAACAGTTGCATTTAACGCTAATTGAGCGACGAGAATATGGAATGTAAGTTGATTCCCTTTCGCAATTGAATTTCGTTTCGCGAAAACAAACTGCACGCGTCAATGTGAAGTCGCGAATTGCGAAGCGGTTGTGGCTACATCACTGTCACCGCATAACGCCATTTGTTTCAAGGTATCCTATTCACGGTGCATTGCACCTCGCACACGTAGCTATGTATCGGCTGGCACACCACATGTCTAGCTGTCGCGTGTATGACGGATACTGAGACGGAAACATGCGATGACACATAATATTGTCATCTCCACGATAATTCCTCGTAGCTTCGCTCGCATAATTTTTAACACATTTCGTCATCATTCGATAACGCATTGTAAGAACCCTGCATTAATTATATAGAAAATCGACTAATTTCTACCACATTTAAATGTTCTACATCTTTTAGAAAAAGAAGAAAAATTAATTGATCAATTGAGAATCATTTATGTGTCAAAGGAAATCTCAAAATATGCATTGTTATAAAAAAAGCCCACACTAATTACATACGCTCCAAAATGAGTTAGTTCCCATATATAATGTGAATTATAATTATATACCAT